GAAATCAACAACATTGTCTTTTGTTCGGAGTTACGACAGCTGGAGCAGTAAAAGCTGCAGAAAAATTTAAAAAATAGAGAGAGAGTGGGGGGGGTGCACAGTTTCTAACCAAGCACTGTGGAATGTGCCACGCTCAAATAATAACCATGGATTCTCCCTCATTTGTTCTAGTTGATTGATTGATGTTTTATAAAGTCATAAAAATCAAGTATTTTCTTTGCAGCCCCATGTACTGGTTGAGCCCCCCCATGGCCATGACTAAAAAGCTCTTTCTGTCTGTCCTTGTCTCAGCTCAGGTGGATTCACCGTGATCCCACCGAATGAATCCCGGCGAAACAAGATTAAATCGAGTAGGCAGACCATCCTACCTGCTGTTTAGTTTAATCTTCATACATGCTGAAATCTCTTTCCTAAGTAACAAAGGTTTATTTTGCTGTAGTGGCTCAAAAAGAAGCGGAGGATCTTGAGAGATGGAAAGAGGCAAACAGACCCCAGCCTGTGCACCTGAATCCAGAGAGACTGGGTGAGACAGCACACACATCTCTGCTCTCACATTTGCCTCAAATGCAAATCATCTTCAACTATTTGTATAACTTCTTATAACTAATTCTTACTTTGTTTTGCCCTTGCAAATTTCTGTTTAATTTATCAAGGTGGGAATGTTACACTGGCTGAAGCCCGGCAGAGGCAGCATACAGACTTCCGTTGCACCAAACTGCAGAAGAAGGTATGTGCTCTATGAATAAGAATACAGTGTGCTAAATCATACCACGTTTGAGATGATGCGTCGCTTTTCCAACCCCTTCTGTGATGTCTGAACCACAAAGAAATATTTCATGTCTAATCTATTGTTTGAAGCTGAGAAAAGAGGAGCTGGACAGGAGGAGGAGACAAGAAGAGGAGGAGGAGTTGCAGAGGAAGAAAGCCCAGCAGAGGGAGCTGGTGAGACCAAGATTAAAACAACAGGAATAATGTATAATATAATCATTTTTTTAAGAGCTAAGTCTGAATGTTAGTGTTACAGTAATAGCAAAAATATTAAAGCAAGTCAGGTCCAGCTCATCTACACTTCAGTGAGCCCCGTACTGTGTTAGGTACACCTGTACAAGTTCAGTTATTGGTGTTATTGACCCTACTGAAGTCCCGCCCCTTTTTGCTCTGTGCTCCAATAACAGTTGAGCAAGAGTCACTCAGAACCTCATTCAACTTTCTCCTTTCCTGCACTTTGTTAGGCTATGTGCTTAGTGATATATGTAGAATCATGTTTTAACAAAAGTTAGCAAAACTTTATTTAACTAGTGACTGATGTAAATTGGCTAGCTTGTTAGCTAGCTTTTAGCTCGAACTAATGTGGCGGAGAGGAAGAGCGGGTCGTCCCCTAATCGGAAGGTTGTAGGTTCAATTCCCGGCTCCTGGTGCCACATGTCGAAGTATCCTTGAGCAAGATACTGAACCCCGAATTGCTCGAAACGCTTGTTTTATGGAATGTGTGTGTGAAAGGGTGAATGT